ATGACTTCCCGAGTCTTGCTCCCAACATTCCTGGTAATGCATCCCAGGATCATGTTTGGCTTTTTTTGCAACAGCATCACACTGTTGACTCATATTTAGCTTGTGGTTAAGTCATGGATAAATTTCTCCCAACACTAACAAGTGATTTTTTTCCTTTGTTTATTATTTTAAACTTATAATTAGAAAAGGACCTGAACAGAAACCCAGATCCAAACAACCCTGAAATTTGGGAGAGTCCAGAGCCAAACTTCATGACTAGCTCCTGTTCAACTAATGGAATGAACCAAAATTGCAGATTGACACATCCCCATACTTCAAGCATGTTCTAATGTCTGTTTCAACTCTGCAGCTTGACCCCATATCAACTTGTAGGTAATTAGTAATTTTATGTTCTGAGTGATGTAATGTGGAGCAGTTATTGACAACACCTAGTTAATGCAACTGACTCACACAGTGTCAATTCAAAAGAATCCAGAACTTCCTAAGCTACAAAACAACCATCCACCCACCAGTCCTTTAAATGCTCTATGTAGGAACAGTCCTGAATACAAATGCAACAGAGTGACGTCAATGGATGCAGGTGACATTTCTTACAATGCAGTGTAAAATTGCTTATCTAGGTGCAAATGACCAGGAAGCTGTTGGTCTAATAATTTGTGGCTCTGACCCTAAATCCCCATGCCATGTCATCTAAATTATCTGTGTAGTGCAGGAAATATACAAAATGCTTTACAAAACAAACACAACATTAGCATTTCTCCTTCACCAGAATGCTTTACAAAACAAACACAACATTCTCATTTCTCCTTCACCAGAACTTAGACAAGATTTTAGTCAAAGGAGGGGGAAACATTTTTATTTTTGTTATGACAGAACAGGTTGGGGAAGCAGTTCAAACCTTTCTCAGTGCAACCCAGAGAGAAAATCAGGAGCATCTGTATATTTCTATTATCTTTTCCTGGGCGATATTTCCTGTCTGGTTCCTTCTCTGAAATTACACATTTCTACTAGCCACTCCTTCGTGACACTTCCAGTTTACTCAGTGAGAACTGCCTCTCTCAAACTATCCATTTCCATCTGTTATTTCCAAAGCACATGCAGTCTTCTGATTCTAGTGTCCATCCCTTCTTCCACTCAGAACACAATGCTCACTGTGGATAAAATTTACCCCCGTGTAAGGGCTCAGCATGAGGTAAATGTATGTCTCACCTGAACTCATGGCCTATGCACTAGATGAGTCCTACCACCTCTTCTGAAGGACTCCATCTTATGAAGGTTTAAGTGGGATTGAAGTGATGCATATGTATTGTGGTGTCCCCCCCATACAGGGATGAATTTCATCTGATTTGAATAGCAGAAGAGAAGGAAATTATCACTCTGTGATGTCATCTCTGGAGACAGTTTGGTACAATTACCTTGGGGAAAGCAGGTTCAGCAATTACAGCAACATGAGACAGGTAGAAAATAATGGAAAGGCTGTTGTAACAATCATTTCAAAGACTCTTAAAAATTGCATTCTCCCGAGGCAGCAAAACAATCACAGTAAAAAGCATCCAAACTGGGACTGCCAAAAATGTCTTGGCATTAACACGTTTCCAAGATGCCCTTAAATATTAAAATCAGAAAAAAATGCTCTTTTTGGTGTGTGTGACGCAGCATGAATCAGCCTTCCTCTTTGTGTTTAAAAAATTAGATGAAAATTCAGCATGGAGAGATAAAAATAAAAAGCTCTGACTACAGGCGAGAGAACAATACTTGTGTCCCAGTCTGAGGATTTTGAGAGAGGTAAGTATTATTTCAGGGTTGTGTTTTTTTTTAAATACATTTTAGTATAACTTCTCCATTTTCTAATATTTTTTTCTCCTCTGATCTGTTTTTCCAATATATCAGTCTCTGTCAGCAATAATAGCTTCCTCCAGACACACACCCGATAAGACGAGTCCAGTAACATGAGCCCTTTCAAAAGGTACTGGATTGATACCATCTTTTGTTTGAGGGCTGCCGCTTGGTTGTTTGGGACAGTAATTGACTGAAGAGTATTTTAGTTTCTGTATTGTTTTTAAAGAGATCAATTTTTCTGTCTGATGACTTCTATAATGACTGATCTCAGGAATTTTTTTGATATAGGTCTTTTTCTATTCAGGGAGGCAAATAGAGGTTACTGATTGAATCTTTAAATGAAAGGATGTATTTTAACATATGGGATTACAGCGGGTGTCCAAAATGTATACTAATTTCTTAAGATAGTATCTACACTACAGTTAAAATGTTTGTCCTATAACCTGGCTACAACACACATCCGTTGTGCAGTAGAGCTACAATGCATCTAAAGCTTTAGCCTGATTACGGAACATCCCCACTACAAATTGCCATGGTTAGCATATTTCTGTATATCAAGTTAAGTGTGTATGGTATGTGATATAATTCCTGTTCAGAGGAACTTAACTTCGAAATTGATCCAGAACAGTGGGAGAGAGGGAGAAGCAGGGGAGAGGAGGGAAGGAAGAAGGGATATGCAGAATAAGGCTGAGGTTGTTGGCAACAGTACCCTAGTTCCTAAGGTTTGGTTTGTTTAGAATAACTTTGTTTAAAGGGATATAATTAGAGAATCAATTAAAAGATTGTGAGGGGCGGGGAAAGGTGGATATTGAGGAGGGAGGTTGCATGGCATACATGATCGAGGTGGTTGTTCTACACCTAGGTAGCAACGTGAGAGAACATGGAGGTTCTCCTTAAATCTCAGAATATTGATTGTTTTTTTGCTTTTGGAAAGTGCTTAAATGTTAAATTCTTTGTGCGTCCTTTGGCAACCTCTGCTAAATACAGGACACTGCCTGTATTTAGACATTGTACCTTGGCATATAACTATTCCATTACATTAGAATCATTTTCATTTTGGCAGTCCTCCAACATCCCAAAACGACTAGCTCCTAAATGGTCATCATGGAGGATTAACCCAGTACCCCATGCACAGCTGGATTGACACTGAAAGCAGAGCTGCTCATTTGCACACTCCCCCATGCACAAGTTGCCCATGACCCCAGCAGGCAGTTTCTGTCTTAGGTAAGTGGAACCCTATTGGGTCACTCTACCTCCACAGCATTGTCAAACATTTTAGTCTCTTAGTCCTTCACTTCTGTGAGGTGTTGGAGACCCTATATGCTGCTCTTCGAAATACTTCTGGCCAACTGAACGGGAAATGCTGCTGGATTCCAGATAATCCAGACCCTCCTATGCTGGGATGGCTGATCACTACACTACCTTGCTTTTGAATAGGTGTGGATTTAAAGAGGAAAATGTAGTAGAAAAGAAGCTTTCAGGGCTCCAAGAGTAACTTGCAACCCCCCAAACTTCCTGTAATAAAAATTTAGTCATATAATCTTGTTACAAGAAAAGAGGAAATGTTAAGTAACAGTTGCATACATCTGCATGAGCTTAATACATACAAGTAGAGTTGAGTGCCACCACAACATTAATTTGATGTGCTCTCTAAACAGTTAGAGATGGGTAAGGGTTTGTTTTTATATTCCTGTGCTTAAATGAGTTGTGGGCTTCATATTAAAAAATAGTTTCCCCAGGAGCAGAAGGGGCTTATCAGTCAGTGGCTGAAACAACATTGCCTTTTGATGACAGCATGAGGATGTCCTGAATCCCAGTGAAGAGTTAACAGTAGCAAGCCATCAACTGGCTGACACATCCTTAACTAATTGTAAATGGGGAATCATCATCCAGTGGAGGTGTTTCTAGTGGGGCCCCCCTCATTAAATCTGTTTTTGTTCCAATCCTGTTTAATATCTCTATCGACGACTTGGAAGAAAACTTATCATGCCTGGTAAAACAGACCACAAACAGTGGAGGGGTAAATGACAGTTCAGTTCTACAGAGCAATCTGTCGAACAATATGCACTTTAATACAATTAAATGTAAGGTTTATATATAGTAGAAACCAGAATGTAGGTCACCGAAGGTGGAGGACAGTATTTTGGAAAGCAGTGACTCCACAGGGCTTTGTGTTATGGGGATAACCAGTTGAACATGAGCTGACAGTATGATGCAACTGGCTAAGAGAGCAAAGGCAATAAACTTATTTGTATAAGTAGGGGAATACTGAGTAGAAGTAGGGAGATGTTACCTCTACTGCATGTGTCAGTGCTGAGACAGTTACTAGAAGACTGTTCACTTCTCACGTCTGCTCTTTAAAGACGTTTACTCCTTGGGGGATTGTGTGACTGCGTGCCCACAGAAAACAGGGCCCAACCTTATAGTGAAAGAGAAGGGCTCACAATCTAATTAGCTTAACAAAGAGAAGGTTTAAGAGGTGACTTGATCATGGTCCAAAGCTATGTCTACACTACCACCTATGACGGCAAAACTTATGTCACTCGGACATAAGCGACAGAAGTTACACTGATATAAGTGCTAATTCATTGTATGGAATTTTAGTTTGTACTGCCTTCGCTAGTGCTTTTTATGTAGCCTGTTGTAAAACTAGGCAAATATCTAGATGAGTTGATGTACCCCCTGGAAGATCTCTACATGTCCCCAGGGATATATGTATTCCTGGTTGAGAACCACTGAGATAGGTCATAGAATTTCCCCAAAATAATTCCTAGACCAGATCTTTTAGAAAAACATCCAATCTTGATTTAAAAAGTCAGTGATGGAGAATCCACCATAATCTTTGGTGAACTGCTCCCATGATTAATTAGTTAAAAACCTATGCCTTATTTCCATGCATGATGCCATGAATCATGCAGGTTATTGGTATTATTAGATTCCTGCTATACATCCAGTTTGATGATCTCTAACTAATTCCTCAGAAAGAATGTGATGCTTTCCAAACAGCACTAATGTTACAATCACAATACTGCTTTTCAGGTGACTAGTGTGCAAATGTCAAAGTCTGCTTTGGAGTGGAAGCCATGAATTGGATTGCTGTGAAAAACTGAGTGACTAGGACATTCATAGTCTTTTCATATGGGGGGTGGAGAGTTAAATTTTATTTTACCAGACAGAACTGGTTGGAAAGTGCCATTGCTTTCTGTTGCCACTTTGAAAACCAAAATGTCTCTCTTATTTGGGCTTCAGTTCTCCTCTGACTGAGGCCAGGGGTGCTGTGGAGGTGGCCTCATGAACGTTTAAGGAAACTTTCCTAGGAGCCCTCAACTCAGTCTCTAGCTTCACACATGCAGATCAGCAAGTTTAATAAACTCATTTGCAGACACATCCTTTTGAAAAGCCCAGCCATAATATTACAGCAACTCTCAAACTGATTGCTGCTTTAATTCACTAAAGCATAGTTTGCACTATCTGATCTACAATATGTAGGGGAGGCTGCTTCTCTAAGTTTTAGCCACCTATTTCCCCTGTCTTTCAGGTCCAGCTGTACATAGCAAAGGTGGGACCAGCCATTTTGATTCAACTGAGTTGTTCCTCATTTGAAGACTGGTTACTTGGGATTTTAGTTTATATTATTTCCCTTACATGTTCATTGAGATTTATTAGCCTTCAACTGCACATGCTCATCAAAGGTTCCTGAATCCATCCTCGCTGAAGATGGCACTGTTTCAAGTGCTAATGACATTTATGCTAAATTTCATATATTTTCTTACTGTCTTCTATATAGCATACTATGAATGCTGAACTTTCAAAAAGCTTTTATGCTTGATTTGATGACTTCCTTAATTCAATGCCTTTCTGAAACATTTGGTATTGTTTTCTCAAAACACAGTTATTTCCTTTGGCAGCTTTTCCTCAATGAGTTATAACTGATGTCCATAGTAGTTCTGCAGCAGAATGCAGTACGTCAGACTTTCCAGGTCAAATTCTGATCTTAATTATACTAGTAAAAAGCCAAATCAACCACAGTAAATTACTTCATATCTAATAGGCTTTTAAATCCTGCAACAAGTATACATACCACCCACCCTTCTCCCTGATAAGCCTAACGAAACTTCCTAAGGGTGTGACTACACTAGAAATGCTACAGCAGTACACCTGCTGTAGTGCTGCCGTAGTGTAGACCAGTGGTCTCCAAAGTGGAGTGCACGCACCCCAGGGGGTGCACAAGAGGATCCTTGGGGGTGCGCAGAGTTGTTTTTCCCCCCTTGTGTCAGCAGTTCGGACAGAAGTCCAAGCAGCTTTTTTTTTCCCCCCGCACTTCGGCAAAAATGGTAGAGCTGGCGCAGCACGGGGTGCATGCTCAAAATTTTTTTTACTGATGGGGTGCAAGATCAAAAAAGTTTAGAGACTACTGGTGTAGACACTACAGCAATGGAAGGGGTTGTCACTAGTAAATCCATGGCTCAGAGGAATAAGTAGGTAGCTCTTGGTGTCTATTTCACCAGGGCTTAGTTCTCCTCCAGCACCTTATACTGAGGTCCTGGCTGCACTTCTTCCCACACCACCTCATTTTACACACTGCATCTGTGGCCCCATGGAGTTGGAAGACCTCCTTGTCAACCCCCTGCTGGCACTGGCCAGAATAGCCCTCCATCACATTAGGAGCAGGAAAGCTGGGGAGTGGGCACGTTCTGTGACTGTGAGGTCTATTTCTGGTCCCTTAGCCAAGTGGTTCTCAATCTTTCCAGACTACTGTACCCTTTTCAGGATTCTGCTGTGTCTTGTGTACCCCCAAGTTTCACTTCACTTAAAAATTACTTGCTTACAAAATCAGAACATACAACAATGTCACAGCACACTATTACTGAAAAATTGCTTATTTTCTCATTTTTACCATATAATTATAAATAAATAAGGGTGTAAATATTGTACATATATTTCAGTGTTTAATATATAGGGCAGTATCAACAAGTCATAGGAAATTTTACTTTGTATTGACTTCACTAGTGCTTTTTATGTAGCCTGTTGTAAAACTAGGCAAATATCTAAATGAGTTGATGTAACCTCCCGAACGACCTCTGTGTACCCACAAAGGTGTACTACTGTCAGGGGTTCTTTGCTCTGTATTCTCATCTAGATCCCTGATTTTCAACCTTTGACTTCACTCCTGTTCCTGTTTTTCCATTTGTTGTCCCCAGTATACAGGTGCAGCCTGGGTCCAATGGCAGCCCCCCTTTGGTTGAGGGGGCAGGCCTAGACGTGCCTGTCCCATTACCCACAAATAGTACCAGGGCTTAGGTCAACTTAACTTCATCATATAGGGTGTGACATTTTTCACAGCCCTGAGCAATGTAGTTAAACCAACCTAATTTTGTAGTGTAGACCAGCCCTGAGTTCATTCTAAGGAGTCAAAATGGCAAATGAAATTTAACATGGATAAATGTAAAGAAATGCACATTGGAAAAAATACCCCAACTATATATACAATATGATGGGGCCTAATTTAGCTACAACTAATCAGGAAAGATCTTGGAGTCATCGTGGATAGTTCTCTGAAGACATCCACGCAGTGTGCAGCAGCAGTCAAAAAGCAAATAGGATGTTAGGAATCATTGAAAGGATAGAGAATAAGACAGAGAATATCTTATTGCCCTTATATAAATCCATGGTATGCCCACATCTTGAATACTGCATACAGATGTGATCTCATCTCAGTAAAGATATACTGGCATTAGAAAAGGTTCAGAGAAGGGCAACTACAATTATTAGGGGTTTGGAACAGGTCCCATATGAGGAGAGATTAAAGAGGCTAGGACTTTTCAGCTTGGAAAAGGGGAAACTAAGGGGGGGATATGATAGAGGTATATAAAATCATGAGTGGTGTGGAGAAAGTGAATAAGGAAAAGTTATTTACTTGTTCCCATAATATAAGAACTAGGGGCCACTAAATGAAGTTAATAGACAGCAGGTTTAAAACAAATAAAAGGAAGTTCTTCACACAGCACCTAGTCAACCTGTGGAACTACTTGCCTGAGGAGGTTATGAAGGCAAGAACTATAACAGGGTTTAAAAGAGAACTAGATAAATTCATGGAGGGTAAGTCCATTAATGGCTGTTAGCCAGGATGGGTAAGGAATGGTGTCCCTAGCGTCTGTTTGTCAGAGGGTGGAGATGGATGGCAGGAGAGAGATCACTTGATCATTACCTGTTAGGTTCACTCCCTCTGGGGCACCTGGCATTGGTCACTGTCGGTAGACAGGATACTGGGCTGGATGGACCTTTGGTCTAACTCAGTATGGCCATTCTTATTCTGTTGATGCTTGGATGGGAAGAGGTGGAAGAAAATACACATGTCATAACTATTTATATAGACTAAAAAGAGTGAGATTTCTATTGTGCTTTCCCATTGAAAAGGATGGTCAAATGATAACCCTTCTGCATAAGATTCCACTGTGGATCAGTCTTTTGTATTGAATACTGTCAGTGTTTAATTTGTAATGAAAGAGATGCCAGGGCTCAACCAATTGTTTTACATTCATAACTGATGCAGCAAGCCCAGAGGTGCCAGGGCTATGAACTGTCAAACCTAGAAGTGTCAGGGATCAGCCCTGGCAAAAATTAAGCACTGAATACAGTACTCAAAGTGAAATAGCAGTGACAGATTTCTGCACACTTAGGCAATAGGAGCCCTCCGGGCCTAGACAAGATGTACTTGTAATTAGTGAGGAATGTATTCGACTTAGTCTCAGTTTCCATCAATGAAGGATGGATCCTCTCTGTCTTCAGTTTGCACTTTTCACATTTTAATCATCAGTCCTAGATCTGCATGAGATTGCTTATGGTTTCAGGCATCCTTACCCCCAAAAGCAGATAAGCCACAGGAGAGAAGAGACAAATCTATCAATGCAAATATCTAATTTGTAACAGCTGAATGGGAACTAAGAATTTTTCCATCTCTCCTTTCCCCAAACACATGTTCAGAGCTGTCAAGGGAAATGAGCACATTTGAGAGAGCAACAAGGTGAAACCATGAAAATTTGGAGCCCACGCATTAAAAACAAACAAGCACATTGCAGAATATGCCTCTTCCAGCAAACTAATGATGAATTCATAACTCTTGCAGGGCTTTTCTAATAGCTTTAAGCAATAAACCTTTGATAATTAGAGGTCTTCCCTATTGTAAGTAGTGAGATTAATCAGTGTTTACACACACAAAATTAATTAGGCCTTATCTTTACAAAAATTTAGTTTGTGAAAGGGACATTCCTTATTGATCATCACAGAGTTATGGCAGAACCCAAAAGCCATGACCAAGTGTGATGGTAAGTGCTCCTTCAAAGGTAGCTTTTTTGTGTGGGTTTGTTTTGTTTTTAAAGCCCTCAGTGTCAAGTTATGGATAAATCAGCCAAGAAGTGATAGAAAAGACTCTTCAATCATCCACACACCCCAGGATTCTCCATCTCACTAGCACTGCAGCCAAATACTCCTCCCTTCACATTTTTTCTCTTCTCATTTATCCCACCTCTCAAGTATCTATGTTGTGGTTGACTGAAGAGGCTGAACAAGCCTCTGTTCTGGAGGCTGTCCACCTCACTCCCTACTCAGCCATGTAATGGATGTGAAGTGGTGTGAAGCTCTCCCAGCTGGGAAAAAGAGCATTAGCTTGACGGTTCCACAAGAGGAGAATCTGCATTTATGTTTATGCAGCTTTTCATGTCTAATTGCTTTTCCTCTGGAACCCTAAATTGATTATCAAGATTTCCAGCAGCAAAATAGGCCATTCCCACCTAACCATTCCATCCTTTCCCCTCCTTCAACAAGTCACTGAAAGATGGGGAGACAGAAGGTTCCTTGCGAATGTGTATCACCATTTATTTTAGTTCAAGAGTCAGGAACTGAACAGAGGACACTGTCAGCGAAAAACAAAAAGAAACAAAATTTTTTTTTTACAGGCTTAATTTTAAAACACTGCGGTTTCAAATCCTTTTTAAAAAGGAAATTCAAGTATCTTAAGCAGGGGGCAGTAATACAAAAATTTTTTTTTTGGTTTAGTTTTTTTTTTAAAAATGTAATTCTACATTTCCTGCACCCTTTTTGCTTTGGTAAGGCCAAGCCATGGATACAAACTGGTACGCAACATAAAAATGACCCCCACCCCAAATTACAGGCTCCAAGAATAAAAGGATCCACTCTCCAGAGACAAACTGTAACGGCTCAGAACTGTCACTTAGCATACTATGTCTCCGGCTTTAAAAGAATTTATTTATTTATTTATTTTAAGTCACTGAAGTCCTGGCATTCCCAAACACCTCCTTGGTAGCAGCTGTTTCAACATGTTCTATCATAAGGCTTTTCAAAAATACCAGAGCATCAAGATTTTCTCTATTCAACATAAAGAAAAGGGACATCTCAAAGAACAACTTAAAATCCGTGTGTCAAAATTTTTTTAAATTATTATTCTTGTGTGTCATCTAACACCAATTAAAAAACAAATATGCGAATATGTATAATATAAAAATACGATCCCAAGATTAACACTTTGTTGCAGGCACAATTATCTCACAGAATATGTTCTCCTGGGGGCAGGGGAAGGACTATTTTCACTGGGGAGTTTTGTTTTCGTTTGCATTACCAAAAAAAAAGACAGCAGTGCAGGTTTGGGGGGAGAGGGGGGAAGGGAAAAAAATGTTATTTTAGCAGCAAAGTGTCCAAGGTTCTAACCACAATCAAATTAATGAATATCTGGCTGTAAAAAATAAAGTTGAAGGGATGCTGCCCTGATCCATTCATTTTTGCTAAAATAATTCAGCTGTAAAACCCCCAAATTGTGACATATTGAAGGACTTTGTTTTGTAACATTAGAAACTTCTTAATTTGTCCTCCACACTATTGACCATTGTTATCACTTAAATATATGTACAAGAATTAAGCTGCTTTTCTTCTCGTCCACATGCTTCTGGTCATTACTACAAGTCAGTGGTGGTGGGCACCCTGAACGTTAATTCCGTCTTCAGCTTCCAATGGATTATATGCACCATCATCACTACATCAATCCATGCCCTGCTCTTCTCATTGGCCTTGGCGTGCACTGCAAGGGAGTTTTTAATGGTCAGTGTTCTGCTTGTCTCTCATCCAAGCTTGGATTTGCTCTTTCAGTTCTGGCACTTGGAATGAAGAGAAAAAAATTTAAATGGTTAATGTGAAATTTGTGAAGTTATAGAAACATTAAGCTGAGAAACCACTATGGGACAAATAGTGCTGTCCTTTGGTTAGGACAGAGAATGAAGAGGGAACCCCAGAGCTCTATTTTCTGCGCTGGTAATGAATTTACCGTGTGACTTCACGCAAATCACTTAATCTCTCTCTACCTCACTTTATCTATCTATGAAGTGAATGTAATATTTACCTACCATTATAAAATGCACTAGCCTAAATGGTGGGAGCTCTGGACTCATTCAGATAAAGAAGGGAACAATACAAAGACAGACTGCAAAGAATAAAACTTAGAACTTTTCTGAGAGACTCGGGGCCAAAGCTGAGAGAGGGGAGGGCAGAACAGGACTGCTGTTCTATCCAGGCTATGACACTGCCCTTCAGAAGCCTGAGACATACCCAAGGGTACAACCCTCCATCAATACAAAGGCAGAGCTACCTGGTTCTAGCATATTTTCTGTCAGTGTCTGCCGATTGAAGGGGTCAGTGGAGGAGTTCAGCAGGTGTCGTAGGATGATTGATCTGTCCATGATCGTTCCAGATGGCAGCCTCACAGGGTCAGTCATAAGAGTGTCCATGAGTGGATCTGAAGAGACAGATGAAGCTTATGTAATTAAATTAAAGAAACAGAAGAAAAAGTAAGTGCTTTCCTGATGCCTCACAGCACAGAAGTGACCTGGTGAATTTCTCTGGATCATTGAGGATGAGATACATTACTGAAGTGACACAGGGTAACCCAAAGGGAGGAAAAGCAGCTTTCTTAGGTGTCTCCTGCCAATTGATCCAGAATTGGTGTGAAGGTAGCATCAGATTAGATCTCATACAGGTGGGCAACTGCTGCTGGAAATGGGGAATTGCTGGGATGAAGGCTGCCCTAGAATGCAGAGCTGACCATTCGCTTAAAGTTAGGAAGGAGAACGAAGTGTAAAGTGCGAGCATTTCCCTATGCTCTCAGAGATCTTGTACTGTTTTATGACCCATGTTTGCAAAGCTGGTCTAAGCACATGGCTAGTTATGAATAATGCAGTCCATGAACAGCTTTGCTCTCTTCACTCAAACCTGAACTGTTTCACTGAATTGGTGGAAGATTCAGGACTACAGAGAACAGTAGGCTGTTTCCATTAGAAATCACAGGTTTAAATTATACATACCTTATATGTACTTTAAGCAACTGAACTCTTCCCCCCCAAAAAAAAGTTAATATTAAAAAAAATCAACCTGCCTCTGAATTCATCTGGAGCATCGCTATAATCGATTTCTGCACGGGCATTCTTGGCAACAATTTCCTCCACTTTCTCTGCCAGCAGTTTGAATTTTTCTATTGCTATCGTGGACTTGATTCCAGCCTTCCTCATCTTTGAAATAACCTCCTCAAATAGCTCTTTGCTGTAGGACCTCTGCAAGCAAGCAGCATAAGGAAAAAATGTGAACTAGTGACAACTTAGCTCAGTTATAGCATCTTTCATCTAAGGATCTTAAAACGCTTTGTAAAAATTAAGTAATTAAACCTTAACACTAATGTGAGGTAGGCAAGAGGATATAGAGGAATCACTTCACTGAGCACTGAAATGTAGCTACCTCTGGGATGGAGTGCAGCTGCTGCACCAGTGTATCTATGTAGGATAGGAAATGAAGAGTACTATATCCAATTGGAGTTGTAGAGGAGTTTATGGAGGCTGAACTTAATTGTCAGAGTTGGTGTTTACTCAGAACACCTGGGTTACCACCCTTACTTTTGTGACACGTGCGATGAACACAAGAGTTATATTTTATATTTCATCTAAAAGAATGGCAGCTTCAACTACACAGGCTCCACTACCACCTCTTTCAGAGGGAAGAGTGTCATCTACTGAATCATCACCATCCCCCAATCAGTTCTTTTAGGTATTCTTCCAATAACTGATTCATCCCAACCCTGATTTGCTTGTGAGATGATCATGGCACAAGGTGATGCAGTAAGGAGGAATAGCAGTGTGCCCAAATCTCCCAACCTGCCTTGCAACTGGGATAACTGATTAGAATATAGAGTCATCTTTTTCCACAAGGCACAACATGAACACAGATGAATTCGCACATGTTGGTGGAAACATTACCTAGAGTTTGGCTTTTCTGAATTATTAATTGCTATAATTATTGCCAAGGGTAGTTACATGCCATGCAAGTGTTGGGATGTGGGAATCAGTATGACACTGGGGAAATCTTGAAAACAAGGATGAAAGCACAGAGTATCTAGCCCACCCACCAGCAGGATACTGGTAATCAGGTGCATGGGGGGGGGTGTGTGTGAACCAGCTAAAAACGGGCATGCAGTTGCTATAGGGATAGTCTGAGGATTTGTTTATCTGTGTGACAAAAGTAGAAGACAATTCTGGGAAGGGACAGAAGAAGAATGATCCTTAACAGCAAAAAAATCCTGCTGCAAAAATGAGCAAGAAGTCTGAGTGAGGGAGTTGGTACCTGCTGGGAGCCTGCCAGTTCGATGCACCATGCAGCACACTGCTTCTAGAACTGCACAGGTACACTTGCCACAGGCACAACGCACACTTTACAGCTTCAACTGACTTAGGCATCAGTTTAACCAAAACTTAAGAATAAAGCTATATACAAGGACTTTTGCAAACTGCTCATGTTCTGGAGTCTATAAAGCCACCTACACGTATCTTCAGAGTGCTGGGCTTTGAAATAAGCCTTTAAAATTTTATTTTCATAGTTTCAAAAGCCCTCTTAATAAACACCTATTAAACTACACAGTATGAGACTGAGCTAAGGAACAAACACGATTTAACATACTGGGTTTGACGAATTTCTGTTTTCTTTGGGAATTTTAAAGTGTTCTAAACACAGTGGTAATTCTCTACTCTGTATTATAGATCTCACTGAAACATTGTATTCAATGCTCAGGACACAGTGTGCCCACCCAAACTCCATGCCAACCTGGAGGGGAGAACATAACTATGGCACTGCGCCTGGGGGCTGGCAAAGCTCTTCAAATTTCTTCTACGTGCTAGGATTTGTAAATCAGAGATGCATCAGAACATCTCTGCCACACACAGGTGACATTTTAGAATACACTTTTTACCCAATCGCTATTATAGCATCATGTATTTTCTTGGATTATCCTTCCTGTCATTGACAAGACACGAGTCACTCCCCCATTCTTTTTTATTTTATTTTTTTTAAATGAGAAGCCGCTTTGTGTTATGCAACATTAACTCATTTGTACTAGTTACAATTCAAATGCACAGCAGCGAGGTGGTGACAAACTAAAATAAAGCATAATGGTCTGGGAACTGGAATAGTGTTAAAGGAACACTGTCAATTTCAAAGTTATAGATAGTTAACAAAAGGCATCTTTTTACCTACATTATTGACACCATGTGAGATCATCAGAACGGAAAAATCCAATTTACTTTTCTCTATTTATGCTGTTTGTTTCCTGTATTTCTCAGCCTAACTGGGGGGGGAGCAGGGAGGGGGAGAAGACACAGCACGAGGGGAGGGGAAAAAAAAAATCAGTCAAGCCACTTCCACAGTTCTGCTGCTTGGAGGTGCACACACAAAGGGGAATATTTACTTACACCAGACCCTCGCTAGAATGCGCGTCTATATAGCGCGAATTCGCTTATAACACAGGACTGTGCATGGATCCCAAATTTAATTACCTTCATTGGAATCCGTGGTAATGCGGTCCCCGCGTTAACACAGGACTGCGCATGGATCCAAAACCCCGCGTTCTAGTGAGGGTCCGTGTATTTTAAAACCATTTCCATCAGAATTCTAAGCTGCCATGGAAACATTTCTATTGGTCTTTGGATTCTGAAAAGCTTGGCTTTGTACACAACGCTGGACCAACATTTGTCCTTTCAACTCTCAAACAACAGGACAAGGAACCAAGGTTACAGATCAGCCATAGTTTACCTATATGATCGATCACATACACACACACACGACAGCATTTTATATAGAAGTGTCACTCTAATGATTATTGATGGAAGGAAATATGTTCTAGAGGAATGAACCTAGGTTTGTGAGAAGAGGCCCTTAGATCACAATCCCAGTTCTGCCAGAGACCATCTGTGTCACGGGAGGCTAAGCAGGTAATGGTTAATGTTTGTAAAATGATCTGCATATGTAAAGTGCTACATATATTCTAAGAATGACTATACATTATTTATATAGCACTATAGGTTTGCAAAGCACTTTATAAACGTACCTGTCTCAAAGGAGAAGAGAGTGCCCAAGCAGAGATTAATCATGGAAAGTAAATTGAAAAGATGCATTTGAAGGAGGTTGGTTGGCAATGCACAGATAGTGGGCAAGCTCTTCCAGGAGTGATTCTGCAAAGCTCTGCCAGTTCTGTTTACCCACACCACCACCAAACCCATCTCTCTTTCTGGAGCTCACCTGGTCGTCAGCAATTGCTTTAGCAAAGCGAGCACAATCTAACTGCAGGTAAATATCAGTCAGTTGGTCCAACAGCTTCTTTGGTTCAAACCCATATTTTTCAGGGTTTTCAACTTTCAGGTCACGGCACTTGGGGCCACACAATTGCTGAAGGTTAAAGTTCAGCATAGCAGCCAATCGTGGTCCAAGTTCCTAGAAGGCCAAAATAACGTACAAATGAAAACGAGGAAGCACTGGGGAAGGGACACCACCTTAAGGGCCCCATGCATCTGGCTCAGGAATTAGACTATGATTTCTCTTCAAGAAGACTGCCACTGATTTCATAAGTTTCACACAGTGAGCCTTTCCTCACTGCTATCTCCAAGCAGTTATACTTGTATCCAAACTCAAGTGTTCATCATATGAAGTAGAAAACAATGCAACTTGTACTGAATATCTGCCCAAAACCACACATTTAAAAAAAGTAATATAATTCCAGGTGGTGTTTCTTCTGCTGGTGACAAGATGAAAACATCACATGCCTATGTCCCTCTTCAGATTGCAACAATCACGGTGACTTTTCTCAGGCTGGAAGGACAGAAACAGTCTCCACAAACATAGATCCTAGAATGCCCTTCCTACCATCCAATCTCAGCATCATCGTAACATGCTTGTTATAATCCAAACACCGAGGGAATCTGTGACATGTCTAAAAGCACCATTAACATCTCAGGGACTAAGGAAATGCATTTTATAGCACCAAATCATTGCTATCTATAATACATATGCCTAGAATTAGATTTCAGTGCACTGTGGATAACATTACAGCTTATCTCCAGGATTTTATCTAGTAAAGAAAAAGAGCCGCCAATCCGCATATTAAAGAAGCTGGAAACCAGGCAGGCAATGAGGAACACTAGAGCAGAACAGTTTATACTTACAGGTCTGAGGAAAGGCTTCTGAACCTGCTTGGTAAGGATATGGAACATATCAACAGTTTCTGTTGCCAGGGCAAGATATGAGCGAGACACACGCTCATCCTGAGCGAGCTGAGACTGCCGAGCCTGTTGCTGGTCCTAGAAAATAAACATGCCACAATTACAAGTCCTTATAACGACCTACTCAATAGCTAACGGACATGCTCTAACATCCTTTTGGCAGGGAGCAGAGTTACAGACTGTGGTTCAAGTTGTTGTAAGATGCTGCTCTTTTGTTTAAGGTACAGCTCCCCTTCAGTCGCATGTCCTAGACAAAAGTCTGGTGTGGTGGAGGGGTATAAAAGTGGATAGTAGCAAGGCTGTAAAGTGCTGTATCACGCCAAAAAATGATTGTACAAATGGTATCGTGATGGGGTCCCATGTTTAGTGAGTCTCACTGATTCCATATCCAATTTGCTCAACATGCAATTAAAAGGGTGGGTTGGGTTTCTCCCCTATCCCAAAATACCAGCACTGCAGAGTCAATGTTGGAGCGGAGAGTCAGGCTGGGTTCTTTCTGGCTTGTTCATTAACACAGGTAATAAAGCTTCTAAAATTGGAACAATTCTATAGATGTGTCAGTTCACTCCTTCACCTAGTAACGGCTCTGCCATGCTAACAGGGATAAATGGTCATAAAGGCTTCAGAAGAGCAAACCTGATTCTGACTGAACACATGAAGCAGAAGTCGTGAAGGTGATTTTTTAGAATGTCACCTTGTTGATCCAGAACTGCACTTTGAATCTTTTTTCTTAATTACTTTTATGGGAAAGAGATAAGGGCTCTCAGAGATCCACACATCTTTCAAAGGTAAATCAGAAAGAGTCATGTGGATCAGTTATTGCACAACTTTCAGCTCTGAACAATTAGCAGCAAGCTCCTACAGGACTGTTAGGTGTCAAGGTCATGCTGTTTGTCACCTGAAAGGTAAAGTTTCCCTAGATTTGAAACATGACTCATGACCTGTATGTCACAACCTATTAATGATTTCCAAATCTTCTATTAAAACTAGATTTGACAAAAGTGCTGGAGAATACATTACAGAGAACCATTCTGCCCTAGCTGGAGGATGGACTGGAGGTCATAAACAGAACTGTTCCAACTCTAACTTCATACAGGTTGTATGGAAGAATGTTATTTACAATCGTACACCCAGTCAGTAGGACTCCAATTATCAACATGGAATATAGATGTTCCTCATATAGGGAGTTCCACTTGGTGACAACAACGAATGTGAGAACGATACTGTGAAGTCCAGAAGGAAAGTTAGGTCTAAAGTAAGGAACAGTAAGAGCTGGACTTCGAGACCTTCATCAGCCATGGAGCTATCCCCCCTCCTGCCAAGGGCTACATTAGCCTCTGCTGATCCAAAACCCTGAGAAAGTTCTAAATGCTAATTCCCTACAGGGTGCCGTGTTGGAGCCACTTCTAGAAAAGAAGACAGTGTTGCTGACTACAGCCAAGTGCAGCTGTCAGTTTAATATTTGGTAAATCTTCTATCGGGATTATATCCTGCACTTGTCAATGGACTGGACTCTAATCTAAACGGTCGTTTCTATCTCTAACTTTTAACTCACTACAGTAAATTTGTATTCTTCCCCCTCTGACAAACATCACAGACATCAACACGTCTGCAACTAGATAATCCATTATAACTACAAAGTGGAACTTCCATCTTCTCCTTCACACATACACATGCAGCCACTTAAGCACCAAAGATTACAACCATGCAGAATATTTCCACAACTGTATGGTAAGTGAATCCCAGGACAACTGCATACAGTCATTTACTATCCCAGTATATTTTAAGTTTATCCAAGACTATTTAAGAAGAGAATAATCCAGCTGCCTACTTTACATAGGGCTTTAATGCTCTATTTTTTGCCACCACTGTTTGCATTGTAAAGATTATCCACTTCCAAGATTTGCACTCATCTGCTCTATCTGAACCAGCTGTCCACATTCTTGTTGTATAAAAGTTTTGGGATAGCTAATGCTTATCTGTATCAAAAGGAGGAAGTAATGCTATGGGAAAATACAGACTTTAGAACATTCTCATCTGAAAGGAACTCCGCAATATGGATCTTCCCTTTCTATCTATCTTTTTTATTTCAGATTTTTGAATCAGTAACCTCAGTATAAAAATATCTGACATTGCTTGGTGAATGCATACAATTATTGTATAACAACCCTGAATCCTGGAATTTATTCTCTTCCATTCCATCCCAAAGCCTGCTTCGAGCTCAATACATTAGGAGAAAAAAAAGCTCTTCACTGGGACAGTTCTTTGAAGTGAACTCAGCCGGTGGGCATCTTCCAGAACTTCCTTTGAAAAAGGATTATAAGCCTCAATTTCTCCATTTAGCATTTTAAATACACAATCTCTTAAAAGCCTCATATACCCTCCCCCCCAATGCCACTGACCTAGCTCTGCAGCCTGGATTCTCTTTCAGGAAGCAATTCCCAAAGTGACCCTGCCCATGGTAGCAGCAAGCAATGCTACCTGCAGGGGCTGCTCCCCATAGCCAAAGAAATCTTAGCATAAGAAAGGAAGGGGCACTGTGGAAAAAAAAACCATGCGCACCCTAGGCAGCAGGTCCCACTGTTCTTTGTTCTTCATCTCCTCTTGAACTTCATGGATCCGTTTTAGGGACTCCAGACTCTCGTCCAGCAAGAAAGTTGTGTCATTTATCAGCATGTTGATATAGCGAACAAACTGCTTCCCAGAGCTGGAAAACATTGAAATGCATTTATCGCTGCACAGTACCCAGGAGCATTCAATCCCCACAACGCATCTCTCAGCCTGGAGCACTAGCAACATTCCTTCTTCATACCACGGTTTGAATAATTAATTCCCCCACTCCACAGGCCAGGTGAATCAGAGTCCAGAGGCACCCTACATTCCTCTGTGTTTAGAATGGCTATAGTGGAAAGGCCTAATCATGTAAGCTGGGACTGATCAAAAGAGGCCTCTTCCCCTTCCTGACAGTAATAGCAAAGTAAGAGCAAGAAGAGAGTCCAAACAAGAGTAAAACAGGAGGAGGGAAAATCCTTTTTCAATGGATAAAGCAGCTCTTGTTGGCCAGTGACAGAAAAATTGTCAAATATCTAGGTACTCGCATGAGAGGCTCAAATAAACGCCACCAGGGTCTGGAAATGAAATCTGGGACAGACCAGCAGGGGGAATAAAAGGATGAAACAGATAATCCCTGTCTCTGCACATTTGGACTATAACACGATGACAGATATTAACAATTGTGGGGGGAGGGATAGCTCAGTGGTTTGAGCATTGGCCTGCTAAACCCAGGATTGTGAGTTCAATTCTTGAGGGATTGAACATTTAGGGATTTGGGGATTGGTCCTGCTTTGAGGAGAGGGTTGGACTAGATAACCTCCTGAGGTCCCTTTCAACCCTGATATTCTATGATTTAACTGGAAACAAAAAAACAGTATGCTCAGAAAAATACACAGTGGTTCCCAACTGGGATCACCACTGTGAGCTCAGGAAAACACTCAGAAGAAGCATAAGGTGGCAACTAACAAAGACTAAAGGAAGCACATTTTCCACAGTATCTGTGGCATAACATGACCAAGGAATGGGAAGAGTGCAGAAGATGTGCCCTCCAACACAACAGAGAAGCAAGCAGTATGCACAGCAGCATAGGGAGGCACATTTGAAAATAAATACTGGGGGGAGTTTTCTTCTTGCAGCTCTGGGTCTTGTACATTTTTTTCATGTTCTGAAGCTAAATATCTTTGAGTAGTCTGGCTCTCCGGCTACATATCCTAGTTGGAGGGATCAGCCTCAGATCCTTACTCCAGTCGTCTCCACACTTCAGAAATCCAAGGCGAGTGTCTGAGCAGTTATCTCTGGCATTTACAACATTTTACTCACTTGAACTCTTCCATGAAGGTGCCGTGATGAGCTATGTTCTGCCAAAGGCTTTTGAAAATGGTGCTGATATGGTAGCGGATTGTAAATTTGTCATAGAACTCGCTGGTGGCTCCAGTGTGCTCAACATCTGAGAAGAAAATAGAAGACCCCAGTAGTAAAACTAGAACCCCATCATCAAAATTTCCCTCCAGTATGCTGTGCTGATTACTAGGTACCCATGTACCACACTCCCCACCCTCCCAATCTAACTGATGAGGTACAACTAAAAGCTGCAAAAAAATAAATCACATCTGTAAAAACAATGAGGAATTCTTGTGGCATCTTAACGACTAACACATTTATTTGGGCATAAGCTTTCGTGGGCTAGAATCCACTTCATCAGATGCCTTGTTGTTTTTGCTGATGCAGACTAACACAGTTACCACTCTGACATCTGTAAAACTCCATCTTGGTCCCCATTTTAAAGGGGCATTGCTCACTTTATTTCTCAGAATCAACCTTCCTTTCAAAGGAAAGCAAGTCTCATGATGCAGCATCTTTGGAGGAGGAGAATACCTTACATACTACTTTTATTCCATGTTTAAAAAAATCTGCATGGTTTGGGCTCTCCAGTGTGTGAGGTGCTAAAGATAAATAATTAAAGTCAATATAGAGACCCATAAAAAAACTGGATTACTGAATACAAAAAAAATCTGCTACCTCAACATTATGTTGAGTATTTTAATCACCCTAACCCCCCCATACCTCTAAAAATCAGGAAATTGAGTTGTTTCTACATCAACTGTAGACCTCTTTCAAATGTGTAGTAATCTGATTTAAGAATATCCATGTCTCTCAGTGTTTAATATTTCTGCTCATCGCCACAGCATCTGATCACTATCCATGTAAAACCAATAGCAATAATGAAATCTCTAGCGTGCCTCATAGGGTATATGGTTCTTCTCCCTTTCTGGGGTATTGCTTTTGGTTTTGATTTTTTAGATTTTACTAATTAACTTGAGTTTTTTGGTTCAGATTGGTTGATGTTTTTCAGGGAAAATAATATGGTTATTAGTGGCTGAAAACATGCGCCGTGTAATCAATAAATGCTTACTAGAGCGATAACTTTGAACTGCTTGGAGATTATACTATACACTTATTCTTCTGTAGTGACCATCCCAGAGTAAGTGGCACTGTACAAAAGTTAAAGGTCACATTAACATAAAACAGAATACGGCAGAAGGATGTAGCCAAATAATGAAATTAAGCAAGAAAAAAAGAACTGAAAAAAAGGTGAAGCCAGAATACTCAAATGAATTAATTTTTGTGCATTTAAAATATCTGCATATTGTATTAGTTTAGGCTTTCTTTGTTTTTATTTTTATTTTTTTAGGAAAAGAAAAATAGCATTTGTGTGTAGGACTATAGGATTCCTTTTCTGCCCTATTCAATTAAACGCCTATATGTTCTACGACTCTGTGCTCCACAGTGCAGTAAAGCTGGCAGATCATGGTAGATCTGAAGCTGAGATAGTTGAAAGGCCACCTAGACTCACTGGATCCCTGGGATGTATGTTTGAAAAGCAAAAGGCAGCTAGGAGAGATGGGACATCAGAGTGGATTGAAGGGGACTGATGACTTCCCAGGGGCAGAGCCCTCAAGGGCTGTCCAAGGTTTATGTGGCTATCAGAGTACTTACAAGCTCATGCACAAAAAAATTTCAGCTCCAAGCGCCACGTGTTCCCCCCCCCCACCCCCAAAAGAAGCAGCTTTCCTGCCTTGGAATCAAAGTGCCACTGCAGCACTGCTAGTGTCAGGCTACAATAAAGCAGCACAAAGATGGTCAGAAAGCAATATGACAAGACATCAGCTAAAGATGTTCCAAAGGACTGATGGATTTTTTTTAGAGCCTAAGCAGACTGACAGAACCTCTTGCCCTACAAAGCTTTCACCACTCACTGTGTTGATCAATACCCTGCAAACACAATATCTTACCTGTATAAAACTTCATCAGCGAGGGGACTAACAATTTAGTGGAGAGAGGATGATTCTCAATCATTTCAAAGAACTTCTGTGTCCGTGGCTGAACAGCTGGGTTTGTCATGAACATCACCTCCACCAGCTTTGCTACCAGATACGGGTTTCGGATGTAGTTCTGGTTGCACAGCATCACAACAAGGAACATCACAATGTCCTGAGTGCAGGGCTCATAAAGCACCTGAGGAGAATATCTGAAAAGAGGTGCGGGGGGGGGGAGTGGGGGTGGGGTGGGGGGGGGAGAGAATGCAAAACCTGTAAAGGATTCAACTACATATTGTCTCAGGCAACTCAGGTCAGACTACCTGTTAGCCCTAGCAAAAGCATAAGTCATTATGGAAACTAAACTCTGATTCAGATACATTAGCCGCTCTTGCCAATAATAGTTTCCTGGGACCACCTTTGAAGCACAGCGACAATCAGTTGTTGCATTTCATATGGAGTCAACACTACTTTGAAGTGCCACTTTAATGCTTGCCACCTCCCAGGGAGGCAGGGACAACTGCTGCCTCTCTTTGAAGCACTGTGAGAAAGACAGGGGATGGACATGGGGTTGGAGGAGGTCTGAGATCTCCTGAATTCTATGAACACCAGTGGACCCACAAATCTGAGGGAACAGCCATATTCGCCTTTAATGAGGTAACTCTTAGAAGTTAATGTGATTCTGGCAAATCTACAAATTAAAGGGCGTTTATTTATTAGTGTGTTATTTCTTATCTTTAATACTGCTCTAGAGATGGTTAATACCTCAGACCTTATTACGATATCTAAGAGAAATTGCCTTTTTAACAACACATGGTATTACATTCAATTTATAATAGTCTAGGAAAGCATTTCCCATTCTGAAGGGCAGTGTCACTGGTGAGCCCCCTACAGACTATTCTAAGAGAGACCTGGGCAGCAAAGGAGATTGGGGCAGACCTGGAATAAGGCAATCTCCTCTGCAAAAATGCTCCTATGCCTGTGGGTAAAGCAGAAATTGTCTCTTTGAAAGCCATGTCCACAACCCCATTCCTCTTTCTGCAATGACTCCGAATGCAGTCAGCAACCAAAGCAGCTAACATGGAGAGGGCTGCATGCAATGGCAACAGCCCACTGCCACAACCTTCTCCTCTTGGTTCTCATGGTACACAGCTTTGTGCAACAGCAAACCAGCCTAGCTGTATGAGTCCCCAACAAATGCTTAGCCCATCTGCCCAGGCAGCAGGCAGCCTTCTAGTGAGCTGGGAAGAGGGACAGAGACTCACAAAAGCAAGAAAATATTAGAGAAATGGAAGAAGATTAGATAAAAAACCCAAGGAGTAGGAAAAGACCAGAGAGAGGGGGAAAAAGCACAGCTAAAGCAAACCCTGGATCTACCCTCTCAGACATGCACACGGGAGGCCTGCAAGGTCTAGGTAACTGATATTCACCACAGTTTGCTTCCCCTCACCCTTCTTTTTCTGCTTTTTTCCCCTCCAGAGAAATCATTGATCTTTTTCTTATTAGTCCCTCTCTTTGCGCTGAAACTGGAACTGACTTAGCTCAGAGTTCTGACTGGTTTTCAGTTATAGAGAAGGGAGCCCATAGACAATTACAAGAACACCGTCTGTGATGTAGGATTGGGAAGCATAATAGTTTGCCTCAAACATGACTTCACTTACTGTACAATAAAAAATAAAAATTCAGCAACATCTTCTACATAAAACTCGGGCAGTGCTGCAAACATCTTCGGGACATCAGGATTTAAAGGCAGTATTATGCTGTGGAATAGAAAAGACAGCGGCAGGGTTAAAACGAGGACAGCGGAATACCAGGGTTAAATAATATCTTCTGCGTTCGCCTACGGAATTGCCGAATGGCCCTTTATAGATATCCTCATAAATATTGGAAGTTTAAAAATCCAATCTCAGCCCTTCCGATTAGCAAAACATAACTCAGGTTTTCACAGCTGTAACTGAAATAACTACATAAATCAGACTTACAGTCTAAAAATAGTCATTCATTGACTATCACAAAATTTAGGAGTCCCGGTAGGTGGAAATGCTGAGGTAGACACAGCTGGTATCAGATATTTCAGATAGTGATTTACACACCCAGCCCTGAAACTCACTTGGGGTAGGCAGGGTCGAGGATTCGAAGCAACAGCTGAATCACCATACCATAAAAATTCAGACACCTCCTTAGAAAGTTCTCATCTAGCAAGCCAGCATCTGCACACGCCTTGCACCGCACCAGTTTCTGCAGGAGGAGGAGAAGATGCACACAAAAGGCTAATCAAGAGCAAGATATAAGAAACACAGTATGAAGGTCAAATCCATCCACTCCACTCAACACTCCCAATAATTAAGACAGTTCTGCCCCTCCCTCCATACAAAATATTTTATCATTGCCCAAAGAACAGGACACTTAAAAAAATCCCCCAATATATCAACAAAGATAGATGAATACAAGTCAACTAGATCCACAAAGAGAAAACCTTCACTAACTTGTAGTTAAGGAGCAAATATTCCAACAGTAAGAACAGGAGAGTTAAAAAGCTAGAAGAGCTGAGAAATTGTCAGAAAAAGCTGTCTAGATGGTACAGAGTAGAAAATTCCCATCAATTTACAGTTGCAACAATTAAACGGGGTATTGAAATTCATAATGAAGGATTCCAGTACATCCACTTCGGAAAGAGTTCAGGACTGAGTCAGGAGCTCTGGATTTCTAAACCCAGTTTAGATAGAAATTGTATGAGCCCATGAGCAAGTCAGTCACCCTCTGTGCTGTTATTTATCCATCCGAGAAATGGAAACAGCAACACCGTCATTCCTCAGAAGGGTGTTGCATGAATTGATTTTTGTCATCTGCTTTTACATTTAAAATTGCTCTATAAGTGCTAAGCATTCTCATCCTGTATTGTACTGTGCATATTATATAGTGTTCTTAAGTCAACAGGTATACAACAGTGTAATACATGGGTAGGCAACCTTTCAGAAGTGTTGTGCCGAGGCTTCATTTATTCACTTTAATTTAAGGTTTCACATGTCGGTAATACATTTTAACGTCTTTTAGAAGGTGTCTCTCTCTAAGTCTATAATATATAACTAAACTAAACTATTATTGTATGTAAAGTAAACAAGGTTTTCAAAATGTTTAAGAAGCTTCATTTAAAATTAAATTAAAATGCTGATCTTACGCCGCCAGCCTGCTCAGCCCGCTTCCAGCCTGGGTTTCTGTTCACCTAGGCCGGCAGCGGGCTGAGCGGGGCCTGTGGCCAGGATGCCGGCTGGCAAAAGGCCGGCAGCCAGGACCCCAGACCTGAGAGGGGACGGGGTTTCAGGGGTCAGGGCAGAGGGTGTGTGGGGGTGCAGGGCAGAAGGCTGGGTGTGTGTGGGGGGGTATTCAGGGGTCAGGGCAGAGGGCAGTGGGGATGTGGGGGGTTCAGGGCAGAAAGCTGGGGGTGGGGGGGGTTCAGCGGTAAGGGCAGAGGCCTGGGTGTGGGGGGGTACAGGGCAAAAGGCTGGGTCTGGGGGAGGGAGTTCAGGGGTCAGGACAGAGGGCTGGGGTGTGTGTGGAGGTGCAGGGCAGAAGGCTGGGTGTGTGTGGGGGTTCAGGGGTAAGGGCAGAAGGCTGGGTGTGTGTGGAGGTGCAGGGCACAAGGCTGGGTGTGGGGGGGTTCAGGGCAGAGGGCTGGGTGTTGGGGGGGGACTCGAGGTCAGGGCAGAGGGCTGGGGTGTGTGTGGAGGTGCAGGACAGAGGGCTGGGTGTTGTGGGGGGACTCGAGGTCAGGGCAGAGGGCTGGAGTGTGTGTGGAGGTGCAGGGGAGAAGGCTGTGTGTGTGGGGGGGTTCAGGGTAGAGGGCTGGGGTGCTCGGCTCGTAGGGGTGCTCCCAGCCCCCTGCCCTGAGCGGCTCATGGCAGGGTCTGGGAGGGATATGCCCTGTTCCACCCCCTTCCCCAAGACCCGTCCCTACCTCTTCTCTGCCTGCTCTACGGAGCAGGGAGCATGCTGCCGCTCCGCTCCCCCTCCCCCTCGCAAGGGCCATCGGCGCAGGGAGAAGGAGGGGGAGGTGAAGGGGCCGGAATGCACCAAGCTGGGGGAAGAAGCGGGGTGGGGGGAAGCTTGGCTGCTGTAGAACCAAGCTTCTGCCTCCTGCCCCCGCAGGGGAGAGCGGGGGGGGAGGGGGCGGGGGCGGGAGGGGTTATGGGTTGGTCCTGCGGCAGCCAAGCTTCCCTCCGCCTCCGCTTCTTCCCATAGCGTGGTGCTTTCCGCCCCTCCGCCCCCTCCTCTCACCGGGCAGGCAGCGTGCCACTCAAAATCAGCTCGCGTGCTGTGTTTGGCACGCGTGCCGTAGGTTGCCGACCCCTGGTGTAATATATTGAAAACAATCCTCCTATACACCTAAGACATATTTTCAAACATTTTATGAAAACATGGTTGTTAGCAAATCTTTTCCATTGAAAAAGAATCACCACCCACCCACCCAGGTTGACAGGGCCATTTAGTTGTCATCCTAACTAGTTACAAACCTTAAGTTGTGTTTTACAGCGTTTCAGCATTTCTCGATGTCTGGTAGCTAGAGGAGACTCTTTCCATTGACTTTCATTGTTTTTCAGATCTTCCACAGTCCTGTAAACCACATGAAATCACTAGTGATGACAGTAAAGGGGACATATGTTGACAGCAGGTAAAACATTTACTCTACCTGATTTCAAATTACAAAGGAAAGAAATTTGGAATGGAAAAAAAAAAGAGATTACAAAAATTCATCACCTTAATAGACACTTTCACCAGGACAGCAAGTTACTCTTGCATCTTTTGAAAGGAAAGACAAAAATCTTCTTCAAGGCCAAATGCTGGGATACACGAAGTACACTAGTTTCATGATTGATGATGCAATTAAGCAAACAAGAACCACAGCAAAAAAATATTACTGGTGGGACAGTGGGGAAAGGATTTCCCCTCCAGACACATTCATCATTTTATCACATTTCTAATACTTGGTTTGTACCAAATTCACGATCTCTATAAAAAGCAGAGTTAAAATCATGTCATTAAGAACAGTAACCCTGTATTGGAGCAAGTCTGATCCAGAACATCTGACAGGCAGGCAAGCAAAGGCCGTATCTCAGTTACCCCCCAAACTAAGAGCAGAGATATGAAAAGCAGAAGCTACTGGAGGAAGATGGGAAGGTTGGGATCAGGAATGGTTCAAAATACCTTCCTCTCC